ATCTGCCTTCCTAGCTGCACACATATAGGCACCCAGGTTCTGGGGTTTTAGGGCATCCAATAAATAAATATCTTTTTTTCCCTCTTACCTGTGCTCAGAATCATTTAGGATGTGGATATGGGATGTCAGGTGGAGAAAAAAAATGTCTGTTTTGAGACTGACTGGAGGACGTGACATCTGTGTGTGGAGAGTGAGCTTGTAACACTTCACCTTAGAATTAAACTTACCCATCAGAAGCATAGGAAGAGCTCTAAATCTTCCAGCCAGCTTAGATGGGAACGCTTGCTTGCTTCCTGTGGGCAGGTTGGCGCCCAAAGATAAAGGGGCTGAGGTGAGTGTGCTTGAGTCCACCTTTTAAACCCTCCAGTGGGGTAGCTGAAGAATGTGAAAGGGCTGCTGAGAGAGATTGAGAGTATTACCCCAGTGATACCTTTTCATGTGGACACACACATGCAGAAATCATTCTTACCCCAGGCCGTGGGTGCATGCAGAATTGGATATTGGGAGCCGAGCAATCAGAAAACCAGAGAGCGTGAGAAACGAAGGCCGAGTGAGAAAGGGAGTGAGAGTGAGGGGTCGGGACCCAGGCAGCTGGGGGTCTGCAGCACTGCCTTCACCTCCATTGGGGGGTGAGTCTGGAGCCAGCATTGGGGCAGATAGGATGGACAAAATAGGATGGACAAAAGACTTGAATGGGAAAAAATGGGGGAAATGCTGAGAGGAACATAAAGCTGCCAGAGAAAGTGTATTTAAGGAATATTGAATTCGTTTATTTATTTACTCCATGATCCAGAAAAGAATCTGCAACAGCCCAATTTGTATGTTAATAATAGGCATTAGAATATGTACTTTGAGAGAGAATGTAGGAATGTGGGTATAAGAGCTGTAACAAAATAACATAAAGCTAGTTTTCTGTATTTGAAAGAGCATAAGAGGTAGCATTCCAAGGTTATTAGGGGCCCCGAGTACCAATCATAACTCGGAATGGGGCTCATAGGCCTCAAAATGACCATGGGATGGAATTTGAGCTCCCTACCCCCACTTGCCCTAAATGAAGAATATTTCCTTGTTTCAGAATAAGCCTTGGGGTTTAAGAAAGAGCCCTGGGGTTCGAGATTTTTTCATGTGCCTTGACGTTTTATTTTTCAGTTTGAGGTGGTCCCAAGGATCTGACACTTTGTGGGGGTAGGAATTATTATAATAGCTAACATTTATTGAACATTCATTGTGGGCCCCACACTGTGTAGAGTGCTTTGAGTGTACCAGTTCATTTAATCCTCTTAGCAACCCTATGAGGTATACGCACCTTTAATATCTCTATTTTATAGGTGAGGAAACAGATGCAGAGTGGCTTAGCAATTTGCCCAGAATTGTAAGCAGCAGAGCTGGACTGCAGATCCAGGTGGGGTCTGAGCAGCTAATGGTGCAGGAAAGAGGAGGGTGGAGTCGACTCAGCCCAGTCTTGGCTCTTTCCCAGCCCAGTCTTGGCTCTTTCCCGTGTGAAAGGAGCAGAACTCTCATCGGGCTAGTTTTGAATTCAAATCCTGGATTTGGCGTCTGCGTTTAGCTGGGCCTTCAGGAAGAGTTAACTGCCTTAACCAAGCAGGCCAAGTGTGTCTCCTGCTGCCAGACCACAAGGTAGAATTTCTAGGCAAAGGCAGGGATGTTGGTCTGTCTGAAAACCCTCAGAATGTGTGTAGGTTGAGCCACAGATCTCTGGGTGGGTGTACAAGTACTTTCTGGTCTCTACTGAAGTGGGGAGGGGACTAAGGGCCAGAAACAAGAGGTCTAGGGGAGATGTAGAATCCAAGAGACTCAGTACTATGATGTCATGCCACACATGTTTATTGAGCTCCTACTACATGCCCCATTTTGCCTTACTTTTCTTGGTGTGTTACTCTATGCAGATACCCATTACCAGGTTCCTAGGAATTCCGTGCCTTTGTGGGGTCAGGTAGGCACTTGCATAGCTGCTCTTCTACCTTCCTTGCCTGGTATCTAGCAGGCCAGACTGCAGGGCCCCCACTGGTGCATGGCTGTGTTTGTTCAATAACGCTTGGAAGCACAAGTGAGCTCTGTATTACTGCCTTTTCGCTGGGGTGTCTGGAGGGCCAAGAAGCTCCTAGATGTAGCCCTGCAGAGCCACAGGGACTGAACCAAAGCACCAGCCATCAGCTTTGTTCCTCAAGCCTCTAGAGAAAACCTTTGATTTCATGGGGATGATTATTTTTATTCTTGCCCACTCAAGGATGAAGCCCAAGAAACAAGGGGTTGCCCCTTTCAGAAGTATCACAATGGGTCACCTCCAGCCAAACCCACTGTTTTTTGTTTTTTGTTATTTCTGGGTTTGGTTGAGCCTCTCTTGGAAACCATTACTATACAACTTACTTAAAAGAAAGAGTGGAGGGATTGGGCATAAGAGACTCAGACAGAGGGGGGAGTAGGTGGGGGGCTTGGGACAGAGAGGCTAGAAGTAATGTGTTGTCAGAGAAAGTGCAGGAAGAACACATTAAAGTCACAATCTGATTTAAGTCGATTCCATTTTGTAGTGACATTTTTAATCTTCTGCAAAGTTTGACTTTTCGCCAAGCCTGGAGAATTGGAACTTTGGAAGAAGGTTTCAGAAAAAGACACAACACACACACACACACACACACACACACACACACACACACACACACACACACACAGAAAGGGGGAGGAAGAGAAAGGGGAGGGAGACTTTTATCCTAAAGTCATTGTAAATCCAAAGCAGGGTTTTATCCTCCACAGTTAAATGAGAAAGAAAAAAAAAAATCAAGAATACCAACATTTGAGGTACAAAGACTGTCATGGGCCAGTGGAAGTTTGCAAAATTATATGTAAATGACCAAAGTTTTTACTATGGTGGCCCTGTGCTTTCCCAAAGCTAATCCCAAAGAGAAAATCTACTTAGCAAAAGAAAGTTTTGTCTAATTTGGTTAACAGTTGAGAAGTGACAAAAATGCTGAATATATTAATAATTTATATTTCCAGGGTAACACTATATCTTTAATGCTTCACTGCCAAAGGGAATTCAGATTGGCTTAATGCTCAGAGAAAAAAAGGCTGAAAGGCCTTCCTTCATATTCTGTATCCAGCGCTGATAAAAATGGGTGTAAGACATGTGTTCCAATAATAGGCACCATGCATTCTCCCATTTCTGCATAATTTGTTTTCATCCCATATTGCTCAATATATATTTGTTACCCAGTGGCCTCCTGACCTTACAATGACTTTCATGCTCCAACTATATCATTTCATAAGGGAGGAGATGCTTGTTTGCATCTCACATTTTATAGATAAGTATTGTAGTGATATATAGTGCGTGTAAGGGCAAGAACCCTTTACTTGAAAGACTTTTTCTAAAGTTTATAGATTCTCCCTGCCCCCAAAACATACACATTTAAGTTTCACTTTATGGACAACATAATGAAGTGGCTGTGTGTGTGTGTGTGTGTGTGTGTGTGTGTGTGTGTGGTTTTTTTGGTCCTGTCTCTGTAATCAAGTTTGAGGGTTTATAAATTGTGGGCCATCTTCCTCCATGACCTCAGTAAACAGTCTAGGTCAGAGCTCCCTTAAGCCCTGTCCACAGAAATGGAATAAGTTAATTTATTGCACTCCAGCTAACCTGAACGGTGACAAATAATCGTAGTTCAGCTAAATGGCCTCAGGAAACAGGAAAACCTGCTACCTAATTTTGAGTTATTTATTTAAAGGGCATCAAAGGGAACGGGAACAAAAAGAAAAGACAAACAAAGAAAAAAAATCAATGAAGGAAAAATTTTAAATTCTCACAAAGACAACTTTAACGGGTTGGTTACCTTGTTCATTTTACCAGTTAACGTAAAACAACAGTGAGGCTTATTTTGATCTCTGGGTCCTAGAAAAACCTGATTTCAGCTTGCTATTTTAAACATATTGCTGTTTTGTGGGTAAGACAGATCGAATTGTCGTTGAAAACTACAAGCCCCTTACAGATCACTAGCCAAGTCTTCCCTAGACCCCAAAACGTTCCTATGTTCTGGGTGGAGCGAGAAGGTTAAAATCCCCCTCCCCCAGGAAAAGGTGGAGAAGCCTTTCTCAGCAGGCCCAAGAACCCAGCGTCTCAACGCCGCACCAGTGGCCGGATGTGGGTGTGGGCAGAGGGAACAATCCTTTCGGGGAGCACGTCTCCCAACCCGGTCGCTGCCGGCCTCTCACCAGGTTGCCCAGCGGCCCCGAAGCCGAGATGATTTGTGCGCCAAAGGCAACTCCAGCTTCCCGAACCCTTCGGTGCCGACGAGTAGTAGTCATTCGAAGATAAACTTCATCGTCTGTTGTTTCTAAGCCACACTCGGAAGCTACCTCCTCTACGTATTTGTTACCAGACAGGTTGAGGCCGTAAACCTAGTCACGCATCCCGATGGTCTGAGTTTCGGCGCGCTTCAGACCAGCGGGCATGTGGTGCGCGCGTGTCCGGGGCCTCGTCCCGGGTTAGGGAAGGGCGCCCAGGTCGGAACTGGCGAAAGTCCGCCAAAGCCAGCTTGGGGAGGGTCCTTCGATTTGTATTTTCTGAGAGCTGAGGGCCCTGTTCCTCGAGTCTGCCCTTCCCCCAGGCAAATGCCCAAGGTGCGCCCGAGGCACGTGCGGGTCTGCAGCCCCGGGGGAAACGCGAATCCAGCCTGGAAGCGACCCCTCCACTTAGCCTCCCCGCCTCCTCAGGCACCGCAGCGACCCGCCCCCTTCCCCACCCAGATTACTGAGGGCCGTCACCTTGGCCTCTATCAGCCTGCGCCCGAGACACCTCGGAGGGGGTGGGTTTTGGAAGAGCAGAAGGTAACAAGAAATCCATCTTTCTGGGATCCTTCAGAAAACGTTTATTGCCAGGGGGGAGATCCTTCAGAAGACTCTTTCGCTTTTGGCCTTCCCCCACCCAGCTCTTTTGTTGGCACCGTATTTACACTTGTACAATATACAGTATTTCTCCCAGGCAGCGCCCGAAGCGCAAAGAAATCTGCGGGCGAGTCGGCGTCAGAGCACCGCGGGGTGCTGGGGCGTGTGCAGGTTAAGGGCGTTGGGGTGGGCGTGGCCGATCAGGTTGAGGTAATGCCGGTCCAGGCCCTGCACGGGCGTCAGGAAGGGGCTGTGCTGCTGCGCAGGGCTCGGAAGAGGCACGGGCGCGCTGGGCAGGTAGGGCAGCGCCGGGCTGCGGGCCGCGCCGTGTGGCCAGGCGAAGGACCCCGGGGCCGCGCCCTGCGGGAACACGGACGCCTCACCAGGGCTATGGCCTGGGAACTCGGGCCCCGCTGGGTGCAGCTGATAAGAGAAATCCGGCTCCGGGAGCGAACCCAGCGGCTGGAAGGCGGGCTCGGCGCCCAAGCGGGCCTTGGACTGCAAGAAGGCGAGGATGCGCGCGTACTTGGTGTCCTTGGTCTCCATCCTCTCCACGGTGGTGAGGTAATGCACCAGGTTCTTCATGCACTCGTGGTAGCCGTAGTGGAAGTAGTTGGCAAACTCCGCTAACAGTTCTGCTGGAGGGGCGAGAAAAGCCATAGAAAGAAAAAAAACTGAGAGCGCCCTTTCCGACCGGGAGCGCGAGGCGGGGGCCAAGCACCTCCCATCACGTTTCCTGGCCGGAGTTTCCGTTGGACGCCCGCCCTCTCCTCTTGTTACTCTGGAGACTGGAAGAAGGCCAGCTACAGACTTTCTTTTTCCTTAAGAGTCTGACCCCATCCTCCCCACCTGAGAGGAGGCCGCGGAACCTGTATCCACGCGGCCCGGCCCGAGCGCGCTCTTTAACCCCGCAGGTGCCCCCGGCATGGCAGCGGCCGAGGTGCCCGGCTACCTCGTGTCCTCGCAGACGGAGAAGCACCGGCGGGCCCGCAACTGGACGGACGCGGAGATGCGCGGCCTCATGCTCGTCTGGGAGGAGTTCTTCGACGAGCTGAAGCAGACCAAGCGCAATGCCAAGGTGTACGAGAAGATGGCCAGCAAGCTGCTGGAGATGACCGGCGAGCGCCGGCTGGGCGAGGAGATCAAGATCAAGATCACCAACATGACCTTCCAGTACAGGTAGGCCCGCGGCCACCGCTGTCGCCGCCACAGAGCCCCAGGGCGCCCCAGGCTCGCTGGGCAGGCGGTCCGCACGGGGACCCCCTCCCCCCCGCCCCCGCCCCCGCCCCCGCCCCGGCAGCATCCAGAGAGCGAGAGACCTCTCGCGAGCGCCGCTTCACTCCCACTCCCGCCCCCAGGTCTCCGTGTGGCGCACGGTCCCTGTCCAGGTTCCCCTTTGCGCAACCCGCGCCCACCTTTTTCCCTTCCCCGGGGAAAATCAGCGGAGTGCAGGGCTCTCAGGTACTGAACGGTCATCTCGAGGATCTCCGCCTTCTCCAGCTTCCCGGAACTCTGCAAAAGGAGGAAGGGCTCCTCGAAGCGGCCCAGCGGGTGCCGGCCAACCCGGGCAGGCTGGGTGCAAGGTTTTATCCGGAGAGGACCAGCGAGTGGGGCGCTGCTGTGGATCTGCGCGAGGGCCGCCCGGGGCTCACTTAGCGCTCAGGCACCCGGGAAGGGAGCCCACACGTGCAAGGCCCTCTCAGGCTCCAGACTCCCGGCATCACTGCCGAGAGTGGCGGCAGAGGATCCCCAGCGCCAGCACCGTTTTCTCGGCCGCTGACGTTACCTGCTTCGCCAGGGCCATGGGCACCGTCTTGCCCAGCTCGTTCAAACAGTGGTTAATCCGGTCTCTCCTCCGCTTTTCTATCACTTTGTGGGAAACAGGGGTTCTCTGCGAACAGAGGTTTGTACGTTTAGGATGGCTTTGCCCAGAGAGTCGTGAAAGGCACGGCTAGTACAGCTGTCTCCGAGCCCTCAACGCTGCCCAGGGACTCGCCCCAGGCCCCTGTCCCTCCACAGTGGGTCACATGAGCTCTGCCTTCTCACACCCGCGCTGGTGCGCTCCCCTTCCAGCGTCCGCTGGGTCACACCGCCGTGCTGAGCACCAGGGCAGTGGGGAGGTAGCCACCAGCCTCCAGGCGTGGGCTCCTCCCTGACTGAGGCGTCCCCACCCTCCATCCTCATCCCCTTCCCAAACCACTCAGGATTCCTCTCCAGGAGAAGTCCCGTGTGATAATGTCGCTGCCCGTCGGTCCAGCCAGGTGGTGCTGCGGGCGTCAGACGCCCCCACCCTGTTGGCGCAAGAGCCATCTGGGCTCAGCCGACTCACTTTGCGTTCCTTGAGCTTTCCTGACATTCTGGTCAGTACGCGCCCTCGGGAGAGGCGGTGGCGCGAGGCACCCGTCCACTTTTCGTCTCGTGTACCTCCTCGAGTGTCCCAGGTAGACTGCAGCCTCCCAACTACGAGGGGCTGCCTTATAAAGCGGTCATCCAGGGCTCCAAGTGCATTCACGACTTGAATTATTCCATAGGATTAGGGGAGCTGCGTTTGGGGGATGCATGCATTCAAGATCAGTTTTTTTTTAAAGTTAAGAAAATAAACTTAGCAGCCGAGGGGGGCGAGCTGGGGGCAGATCAGCTTTGTTAATCCACGTGGCCCTTCAAAGGACACGTGACCGGCGGGGGAATAACATTAGCATGGCAACAGCCGGGGCGGGAAGGAGGCGGTAAACCTGCGCCGGCGGACGAGCGAGCGCAGGGGCGCAGCGGCCGCGGACGCCGGGGGGCGAGGGCCCTCACAAAACAGTGTCGCCTCCTTTAGTCCCACCGCTGAGTCTCACACGATTGCCTGTTTACAAATCCCAGCAAGCCCGCAGTCTCAGCGCCGAGTGCGTTTTAAAGCCTGTCCAGAGTCATTAAAGTAATTAAGTAAGCCTTTAATAGGCTGTTCCGCCGGGTTCAAGGGAGAGCTCTTGGAGACGGAGGCGCCCCGTTTGTTCCCAGGCTTTTCTCACACGACTTGGTGACACGTCCATCTCCCCCCTTTTTGTTTACACCGCTTTATTTGTCCGGACATCCCGGCAGGTGTGGGGCTGCGGCGGGCACCAGAGGCTCCCGCCTCGCCTCGCCCCTCCCGCAGGTCTTTGGCACGCGACGCTCCCCCTACTCCCTGACCACATCGCCGCCTTTCTTTTCTCCCCCCCTCGGCCTCTCTCTTCGCGGGGGGAAGAGGCTCAATTTGTAGCCTATTATCCTATACGGAAAATGTCCATTGAAAAGTATGAATAGTTTCATTGGGCTAAATTTTAATAATGCCAGAGGGTGGGGGAGGAAAGACAGGCAGGCGTGTGTGTGAGTGTGTGTGCGTGTGTGTGTGTGTGTGTGAGGGGGGTGGTGGGAGGATTGGGGGGCAACACGGAGAAGAGTGGGCTGAGAAGAAAAGGGGGAATGCAGCTGGCCCAGGCGAGCATTATGCGACGTCACCTGCGAGAGGGGGCGCCTACAGACCCCTATTCATTTGCCTAATTTTGGTCAATTTAACAAACTTCAGGAGAAATTATTGTGGCTTTGTCAGAGAGGGTGAAGCCTTCTGATCGAATTAACAGCATGTTTTGATCCGGTAAATGTCATTAGAAAGGGAGAAACAATCGCGCTTAGAGGACTCTAAGTAATGCGCCCAAGTGGAGACGCCAAAGCGCACGGCTCACAAAGGGAGCAAGTAGCTGCCACAGGGAACTTTTGTACCCGCCCATCGCCCAAGTTTTGACACAAAAAGGCATTATTTCATACTTGAATACGTTTAATCCAACGATTGTCTATTTTCTGCAAACATATTTTCACAGCATTGTTAACTTTTTATGTCTCCCTTTCGCGGGCGCCTTAAAGTTTGGGGGCGGGAGAGCGCAGACACTTTGGGCATCAATATTTGTCACTGAAAAGGGCTCCGTGAAGTTAGGGAGGTTGATCTCTTTTTTATGGTTTTAGAGAGCGAATATAGTTCGGGGGAGGAGGAGGGAGGGAAGGCACGAACCGAAAGGAGGGAGGAAATTTGCTGGACTGGCGCGAGGGGCAGGAGGGGGGCGGCGGCGGCTGAGAGCTTTGCTCCGCCTGCGCCTCTGCGGGCAGCCGGGCCCAGCAGGCGGGGGCCTCCTCCCCGACCGCCAGGTCTCGCTGGCACTTACTGCGCCGGAACCCGCGTTCTGGGGGCTCCAGGCTTGCGGGCTGTGCGTGGGGGCCAGGTTTCTTGCAGATGGAAACTGTAAAAATGCTTTTTGTTCTGTGACCTGTTCCGGAGCCGCTGAGCTCTCACCTTTTTCTAATCTGTTGCATTTGAGAACAACCGAGACCTCTCCTGACACATCTTTCCCTCCCTCTCTGCTCCCCACCTCGCCTAAACTCTCTCTCCTCTGCTGGACTACGGCAGGGCCCGGGTTCTCCCTTTGGGTGTCGTTAGTCCTTGGCAGAGGTGGCTAGGGGGGAGCCCTGCTCTCCAGTGGCACCTAGGGGGCTCCTAGGGCGCAGAGGCGGGCCTGGCGGGCCGGGCCTCGGGAACGCGAGCGGCCCACCTGCTGCAATCTGGGAGGTGTGGGGCTCGGTCCGCACCACGCACCCCTAGGGTGTCCCTCTCCGTCTTACTCTCAGTCTCCTCTCGACGTTTCTTTTCTACTTCACGCCAGATTGGACACGACCCGCACCCTCCCGCAGGTTGCTCTGCCAGCCGCTGGTGCCCTCTCAGAGGTTGTCGATTTCAGTATATTCACTCGCACACAAGGGGATTAAACACGAACCCTTATCATCCAAATTAACTAACGTGAATGGGTAAAAGGGAGCGCGCACACTTCTCACCCCCATCCCCTTTTTAAGTCAGCGGACTAGGAGTTGATCCTCTTACAGCTGGTGTTAACCGCCAGCTGCGTGCACCTTCCACGGGCCAAACTTCATTCTGTGCAAACTGTTTAATTTCCCGTGTTTGCTTGGGAGCTGGGCTCCGGATCTTGCCCAGGGCTGCAAGTGCCCTCGTATGGCTTGGGGGAGAGGCCCAAATGAAGGTGGGGAAGTGAGGGGAAGTGGGGTGGAGGGGTGGCCATCGTCACCAGGTCCTCTGGGTCTGCAGCCCTTTCTGGAAGGCTGGGAAAGCCTTTTCCCATTCAGGTGAGGGGAAGGGTGTGTTTTATTTTTGTCTTCCCGGCAGGAAGGCTTGAATCACGCTGCCAGGAACGGGGGTGCTGGGACCCTCACAGGCATCGTCCCTTTACTCCTCCTTCCCAGGATGGTGATAAAGTGTCCCCTGATGGTGACCAAGATTCCACTCAAAATGAGAGCAGAATAATGAAGAGCTATGGTCCCTGGAGCCAAACAGTCGTTCAAATTCCAGCTCCACCCCACCAGCTGGGTGAGACCAGGCTGTTCACTGAATCCTGCCGTGCCTCAGTTTCCTCCTCTGTAAATTGGAGATAATTACTGTATCTACCAGGTCACAAGGTGGCCACTGGGATGAAGGAAGTAAATATAAGTAAATATAGGCAGAGCACCAAAAACAAGGCTTACCTACTCAATGAATGGTTTTACTTTGCCTGGAAATCACTTCTACAGTGGTTCTCACATAGTGGTGCTTTGTGGGGTTTGTGCTGTTGCGTGATATTTTCATTCATTTCATAGTTTTTCCCATCACTGAGAAAGCTTCACTCTCCATAAAAAAGCCCCAGTATTTGGCCTGAGATTTGTTAAATCGACCCAAATTAGGCAAATGATGGGGGGCCTTTAGATGCTCCCTCGCACAGGTGACATCACCTGGTGCTTGGTGGCCAGCAGTGTCTCCCACGGGGTGTGAGGCTGAAAAAAGACTCCAAGGTCATTTCAGCCAAATTGCTCTAAGACGAAGTGTTCTGGGTGATTTCAAATCTCTCCCTCTTCCTCCCATCTTAACACACAGACTTTGTAGATTCATTAGTGGGACTGGGGATTTTATCACGTGGGGAAACGTGAGGAGTCTTGTCAGAGAGTGGAGAAGACACAGCGGAAGCTGCCTCTCCTGTATTTCTGAAGTACCAGCAGGTCAAGGCACAAAGAGAACCCACGTTGGGCTCTATTTCTGAAGCGAATAGGATCCCAGAATGTGGGACTCTAGGATGTTTCCTCTGAAAGAAGCCCAGAAGAGCATCAGGTCCGACACCCATTTTCCCACAGAGGAATCTAAGGTGCCACGAGGGGAACTGGGAATGACAATGGCGCACAGCAAGCCGCTGTCTCAAGTGTTTGTTGATTTGCTGTGTGACCTCCAGGGCCGATGGCCTCAGTTTACTCCTCTGTTACTGCAAGGAGAGTCCCAGTAGGGATGCTGTGATTCAGGACTGGCAGACATTCTGTAGGACACCTGCTGCCTTTGGCTGGTGTGATCGATGTCAGAGGCATCAACTGTGTCCTTGGGCCTCTGTCCACGTGTTCCTGCTTCTCCCAAGTCCAGTGATGACAGCACGTTGTGGGCACTGATGTGAGCCAGAGGCTGGGAACACCACTCAGAAAAGGACATGGCTCAGGGGCGTGTCCTCTCATAAAGAAGAAAAGGTCTGTGCTTGTGTCAGACCCCGGTGCGGAAGCCTCAACACAGCAGTCACCCTCAGTGCCCAGTCACCCCCAGTGCCCATCCTAGAAGCCATGCAGCACACATCCTAGTGGGTTGGTGACTTCTTTGGGCTTTTCTTTACTCAGCACCCCAATTCTGTTCCCTCCCTCTGATCACGAGTAGTGTTCTCAGCTCAGCAAGGACGTCAGCAGGA